GAATTTCTGATTATAATTAATGCCAAGGTCTTTCATTTCATTAGCTGGACTTATGGTATGGTTATCAATTTCGTATTTGAATTGTATTAAACTTTCTGGAGAAAGACAATACATGACATTTAGCAATGCTAAGATTCAAACGATTATTGGAACACCAATCATATATCAGATCTAATTCACACTGTAAGTTTAAACAGTCTCTATAATTTTCTATCACCTTGAATATTTTATTAGAATATTTTTTTAGTTAAATCATTAATGAAGATCAAGAACAAAAGAGGTCCTAAATTCGAGCCTTGGGGCACTCCGGAGCTGGGAGTAAATAAAGCAGATTTAAAGCCTTCATTCTCTATATACTGTTTTCTATTGAGTAGATACTTTGACATGAGTTTCACCAATTTTGCCAAAAAACCAAATTCTGACGCCTGAGACGAATGAGATCAAACGCTTTTTGCTTGTCTGTATAAATGACGTCAACCTGCAGTTTCCTATCCAAGGCTTTAGAAACACATTGTGAAAGACATGGAAGATTGGTTAAGTACGACTTGTTTTCTACAAACCCATGCTGATCATCTGGTATGATATTTTATATATGACTGTAAATTATGGAGTATAATATTATTTCAAATAATTTGGAGAAATTGCTCAGTATTGAAAATGGCTCTATAGTTTTTTACAAATTGGGCATACTCGAGCTTTTTTCTAAATGTCAAAAAACTCACAAGTTTTCAAACATAGATTGTATATATGAAGTAGGGTACCCAGTAAAGGGTAAAAACAATCTTAAACTACGAAACTCGTCCTGATGAGGACCGACAATTAGTATATTTTTCAGTTTCGTCGCAGCTTCGATAACATCTACTTCATTCACCTGATCGATAATTATTGTTTGTGATTTATTTGTGCAGTTATCAAGGGTATCACATGAAGAGACATCAGATATAATACAAACACTTTTAAAGAAGTTTGCAAATGCACCCATAATTTTCTGCGGTTTGGTGTAAGTTTTAGTTTCATCCTTCATAACTCCGGGAATTTTCGAGTTACCTACCTCTTTTATTCTGCATGAAATTCCAAAACGCACTTGTGTTTTTGTTAATTTTGTGTTCACTTTCGTTAAGGAAGTTTTTATAAGCATTGTTTATTTGTTCTTTTACTTAACTTCTCAGTTTTTATACAGGGTGTAACTAAATAGGTGTAAAACATTTAAGGAGGTGATTCCTCATCGAAAAAAAGAAAGGATCTTTCATATAAAGAAATTTGATTGGAGCATTTCTTGTTAAGATACAACCCTTCAAAGGGGGTACATGAAATTTTTATAACAATTTTTTTCACAAGCACTGAAAAAGTTACAATTTTGAAATTAACCTGACGTTTTGTACTACCAAAAAGACACATAACCAGAAATTTATTTGGTTTACCCCATGGTTGTAATGGGTGGAAAACGCAACCCCTAAAATTTATTTCCAATGTAACTTTTTGTCTTATTATTTGTTTACCATTTAAAAAATTTTCCGATAGCCTGTTTCATTCTAAACAAAAAATGTCTCCTGGGTTTTTTGCCCAAAAACTACTACAGAGATACATCGTCATGAATGCGAAAATACGAAACTAATCTATCTAGTAGGTCGCTATTAGCAATAGTGACAATTAAATTCGTATGACGCTGTCAGTGTGTGAATTTTCGAAATTGAATTAATACTAATTGTGTGTTGTTGTTCTGTTCTTGATTTGTTACTTTAATAATTCACTTGTTATCAAAATGGCATACACAAATGAGGAAATGGCTGAGATGCATTACGTTTACGGTCTATCGCAGGGAAATGGGTTAGAAGCTTCTAGAAGATATGCTGAAATGTATCCTCAACGGCAGCATTCTTCACATAGATTACGAGAATATGGTTCATTCGACAAAAGAACGCAGGATTGTGGTCGTCATCGAAAAGTACGAACACCACAGCTTGAGGAAGCAGTACTTAATTTGATTGAAGAACAACCTACTACCAGCACTAGAAAGATTCCAGCTAAATGTTCATCATATGACGGTATTTCGAATTTTAAAGGTACAACTCTTATACCCTTACCATCTGCAACGAGTATAGGCACTGTTACCGCGAGACTTTCCGAATCGTCTGGAATTTTGCAATTGGATGCTGGAAATGATTAGAAGAAATTGTGACTTTCTGAAGACGATATAATTCACAGACAAATGTAGTTTTTCTCGGGACAAGATTATTAATTTTCATAATTACCACATATGGGCTGATGAAAACCCTCACGCTCTTGTCTAAACTAACCATCAGAACAGTTTTCTCTCAACGTGTGGCTCGGAGTTATCGAGGATGATTTAATTGGGCCTCATTTTCTACCTCCTCGACTAAATGGTGAGGCATACGTTCAATTTTTAAGAGAAGTGCATCCAGTACTGCTGGAGGAAGTTCCTTTGGGCGTCAGAAGGGATATGTTTTTTATCCATGATGGGGCTCCCGCCCATTTTAGTCAAGTAGCACGTCAGCATTGAACTGAAACATATGCAAATCAGTGGATAGGACGAGGAGGACTACAGAACTGGCCCGCTCGATCCCTGTATCTCAATCTTCTCGATTTCTCTATTCGGGGCCATTTACAGCATTTGGTTTATCGTACTCCTGTTCGCGATGTAGGGGACTCAAGAAACCGCATCATCGATGCGTGCAGGGTAATCAGAGAGACTCCAGGAATATTTGAGCGAATACGTGGCTCAATGAATCGATGTCTAGACGCATGCGTAATGTCTGAATGTAGACATATTGAACATATACTATGATTTCTACATGTTGTGTGTTTTGTTAATGACAAATTAGTTTTGTTTATTACCCTTTAATCGTTTAATGCAGGTACTAACTACAAAATAACAATACATCCAGTTCGTATTTATGACGATGTATCTCTGTAGTTGTTCGTAAAATAATTTTTTGCTGCGAACTGGTTTATTTTGGGCAAAAAACCCAAGAGACATTTTTTGTTAAGAATAAAACAGGCTATCGGAAATAATGGTAAACAAATGATAAGACAAAAAGTTACATTGGAAATAAATTTTATGGGTTGCGTTTTCCACCCCTCACACCCATGGGGTAAACCAAATAAATTACTGGCTAAGTGTATTTTTGGTAGTACAAAACGTCAGGCTCATTTCAATATTGTTACTTTTTCAGTGCTTGTGAAAAAATGTTCATACAAATTTTATGTACCCCTTTTAAGGGGCTGTATCTTGACAAGGGATGCTCCAATGAAGGAAAGACCTCCGATGAGGAATCACCTCCTTAAATGTCTTACACTTATTCAGTCAAGCCCTGTATATTCACGTGAAGTGGTTCATTTGTTATATCACTAAGTTTTCATATTCAAGCAGAAAATATAAAGATGTCCTCAGCCGAAAACAAGCTGAACAAATACCGAACAAATCAATTCCGAAAAACTTGTTCGGGGCTTTGTTGTATAATCAATATTGAGTTGTTGACGATCAGTTCGGAATTGATAAGTACATCTGTAATTAAACGAGTATCCTTGTAAGCCGCTTTGGATGACGTGGACCACCGAACAACCTCCATATCTTCGGTAATATCGGGATGGGCAGCGTCTAATTAAAAAGTCGCACCCGGATTCTAGATTGACCGCCTTAATCTTGTTATTTCCACCCAATTATCGCCTTATATCGAATCATCACAGAATGAGGTGATGTTATGAGGATGTATGTCATGTCGTTACAAGTATTGAAAATGTCACAAGTAATAAGATACGTAGGAAGACGTATTAAATAATTTATTCATGAAAACGAGGTTCAACTTTCAGAACAGTTGCTCATATTGTTCTACCCAAATTCGAGTCTATGCATGGGGATCTCTCAAATGGTAAGTAGTCTAATCAACAAGTTCAAAAACAAGAAAAATAGAGATGAAGGTCCTTAAAATATGAGCGATAGCTCATTTGAATCGAAATTACCTCTAGAAAAACGTTTTTGAAGGATTTTGGTGCAGGTAGAAAATTGCAATTGTTATTAACAAAATGAGATAAAAAATGGTATTAGATATGATTTTGTTCTCAAAGATGATTTGAATATGCCGAACTTGTTTTCTTGTTTACATAGCTTATATGAAATTCCTGGATGAGATTCCAAGTTCCACAATTTAATTTATATACCCCTGATTTGTTGAATTAGAATTTTTTGCCTTTATTATTTTGACTGACCTTCCCAACGTATTACTTGTTCTATATGCAATTTTAATATCTTGTTCATTCAAAAATGAGGCCATTTTTTCTGTTTTTCCAAAATATGTTGAAGCTCTATAATTTTTGATCTTGATCATCCAACTTATCAATAGGAATGACGTCCTGAATCGCTTTTGCGAAGACTTCGTTGGAAAGTATATAAAATTCAAATCAGTTTTCCGCTGTCGCTTGAGCAACCACCCTTAGAAGTCGAACTTGTGCCGGCAAATAATTAACGAGGTCTTATACGTTAACATGGTATTTCTAGCATATAGTTGGATTTAGTTTTTGGTATGAATATTGAGAACATATAGAGATTAAGGAATGGAAATTGAAATCCTATGAAACAAATAAAACTATAATAATTTTAGTAATTATTATAGAAAATGAATAAAATATAGCGTCCGTTCGATATTTATGTTTGTCATGATCACAAAGCACTGAATTTGAATAACAAATGAATACAAAGAAAATTTTAATGGACTAGTGCAATAGAGAACCAAATTTTCCACTGAATATCTGTTGAAAAATCTTTTAAATTCTATTTTTCCATTACGAGCGAGAGCAACAACCCTCAGAAGGGGAGGATGCGGGTTGAGGATTAGCGAGCCTTAAGTTTCAACGTGCGATTCCTATCATATATTTCAATATAGTTTTTTGCATGAATATAGAAAAAATACAATTATTCTACTTTCTACTTGAAATAATTCGGAATATGGAAATTTCAATTCTATGAAGCAAATAACACTCACCGCAATAAGGGCTCGGATACAGTGTGCAATTCGCATAGTAGTCAGTGCTGGCGTGGTATGGATTTCGAGGGTTAAGGGCAACACCAACCCTTGCACCTCGATCCTCTTTTTCACTCCTACTCCTTGGGATAATGGTAGGAAAACATTTCACTAAAATTGAACAACACATTGGTCTCTTTCACAGGGAACTCCTATGTACATCAACCGGTATTCTGTAACAAAATAAATCTGTTAAAAAATTAGTAAAAACTGAAAGCAAAATATAAATAGTAAAGAAGAAAATAATACAATTCATGAAATTATGAAACAACAACAAACATTAATTGGCGCTCCGGGGTGACTTCAATGATTACAGTGGCGCATTTGCGCCACACAGAGCGGTCAGTAGTATTGATTGTGCTATTTTTTCGTTTACGAAGAGTATTCAACAAGAACCCCAAGAATTGGGATCAATCCTTTTGGTGTCCTTACGAGTATCTAGCGGACTTCAAAGACTCCAGGAAATCGGTTGGTGGGAAAGAGATCTATCAATAAAGAATTCCAAAAATATAGTTGGTTTTTCGGTTCTGAAGGAGGAGTAAAATTTTTGTCTGTATTTATATTTTATTTCCCAAGTTCATAACGAATTGATTTATCCATAAATTTCAGCAATCGCTTATATCATCGTTATGATGCTTACCAAAGAAACAAATTATGCTCATCTCAGCTTCACTTTTCCAACTCTCGGTCTATGTTATGGTAATGGATATGTAGGCATTCTATGGATTGATAGAGATGTCAATTGAAAAAAAATATTTTTCTGGTTGGACCAAAATTGAAGCAGACGGTGTTTCCGCTAGGTTTTTTGTAACTTTCCCAATGAAGAGGGAACAAATAGAAGATCATCCGTGTCTGTAATAACAGAGGGCTAAAATATGGTCCAAGAACCCAATGGTATCGAGTGGATATTATCAGATGGTTGATAACTTGTGAAGAGTATTCATCCAGTGTTCTTCATCCATCGCAAACTATGTTGCACTTTATTGTTCTGGACTATCGCGTCACTTTTTTATCAGTACCAAAATTTTAACTGACTGTTATGAGAATATGTATCTTCTGAAGACCTTCATCGAAATAGTAGTTATCATTTCTATTTCTTGTGCGTGAATTCCTAATTTGTGCTTGTAACTCTCCGGAGAGTAGAGGTAGGTGAAAACCTGCAAACATCAATGAAGGATGCTTAAACATTGGCCATTTTTGATCAAGGTTTTTTATGGGATCCGTATTCCAATTCCTGTGAGGGACGTTCTACATGTCTTATGAGATTTGTGAGATACCCAATACCAAGCCTAGAAGGCTGGGGACTGATAGATCACTATTGTCCAATGTCCGGCTAAGAGTGACCAGTTGGGCTCACCACTGGTTTTACCACGGACTCCACATAGCTGAGAAAGTGATGGAAATTTCGAATAAACCCTTTTCAATTGCATCTATCTTGGATTTACACAGATTTGGATAGAACGTCGTTGTCATGCATCGAACAACATTAAGAACAGTTCAATACATTTTGCGTTCAATTTCGTTTATCAATTTTCACAATCATAACATCAGCTATCATCTCATTGTGAAAATTGATGAATTTTAGTTGAATATAAAATGGATGAAAACAGTTATCACAAGTTGTTATTCCAATAGAATGATGTAAATTGAGACTGAATATATTGTAGATTTGATGATTCCAAACTTTATATTTATCGTCTGATAAAGCGTGAAAAATAGTTTCTCAACAATGTGTCAATGATTGGTAAATTTTTGAATTTATCCCACTTGTTTGTCGTCTTTAAAAATTATAATTCAAACGTGAACCTATTTATTTCATTCTGTAATGATTTTGTTGAATAATAAATGCCCTTTTGCGGTTTGGCTACTGCAAAGACAAATCAAATATTGAAATTTCGATGAATAAAATCTTGGTGCAGATTTATTATAGGCCTGTTGGATTTTCTTGTGTTCAATTGACCATACGGAGAGATACAGTTGTGGCATTGGATATTTGTATTGTGTTTATCCGTTTTATTTTCGATTACAAAGATATTTCTGTCAAAACAGATAACATGATCATGGTAAAAGCATAGTACAGATATTGTTTGAAAGTCTTTTGAAATTACAATTTTAGAGAATGACTCGTTCGAAGATGTGAGGAAAATTTACTGACATGAACCTTGTACATTCAACGGCATTCAGTTCATTACGTGAATAAATATGAGAAAATAACGTAACGGGCCACCTTTCGGGTGGCCCGTTCGAAGAGTAAATATTTTTCAGATGAAACCACGTCTTGTATTTTGTGAAAGCACGTTTCTCAATTTACTGTAATTTTGAATACAACAAACTATAGATTGAAAAAATTATACAGTTATTCGACTTACATTATAACATGAATTCACAAACAACTTCGCTTTACTGGATGAATCCACCATGGCAAATCCAATAATTATTAAAGAACCCATCACTTTTTCAACTAAGTCGTCATGATCCACCTGGTTGGCACTTATTACCAGCTGTCATTGTTTCTTTGTTTATTCTATAGACCGTGCGCTAATATATTTAACAAACTGTTTTCACAGATAGCTATGATGTTTCTACCATTGTCGAACTGCTAATATTTCAATTATGGTGATTTATTGCTATTTTGTAATAAGGTGTTAAAATGTTATTCTAAACTTCTGTCATTGTGGAAATGAATGAGCAGGAACTGATAATGTTTAAATTGTTGATTTGGCCCTATCCAGCGTCATTGTTATTAGAATACGAATTACTTAATTTAAATACATTCTTCAAGAATGAGGTACCAAGGGACGGTAAGATACCGTTCACAAAATAAAGTGGTAAAATCATTCGAATAGAATTTCAATATCACATATTTTTATGAAACTATAGCTCTAGGGAAGTAAAAACCCAGATCAATACTTGAATATTGAGAAGTTTTCTAAAATTTCAAGGTGAAAGATGCAGACAGACATTATATTATTGTGTGACATTGAAGAACGCCAAAGAACATTTAATTATAATAATAACAAATTGGGTGAAATAGGATGTAACAGCCAAAAGACTAAGTTCAAAACTGCAGTGTATAACACTACAGATTTGTTCTAACACTTAACCTCATATGATGGTGTCACATAATGGTATTAATTGAAGAACAGAACGATTTACTACAAAACAAAAAGTTTAAACGATTCAGTAAAATAATTAACAACACTTTCAACATCAGAAAAACAAAAAAAATTGATGTCATGATTTTTCAAATCTTTCATCAGAAACCGAAGGCCGGTTTATTGTTATTCCATCAATTTTTTTCCATGAATATTTTAATTCTTAAATTGACGTTTGTGGTAGTTCTCAACAAAAGAAAGTGTGATTTTCCTTCCTAAAAGTTATGCCTATTCATTGTGGTATATATAAATGTATGCTTAAGTACAGGTGAAAACACCTCGCCCTTGCCTGTTATGCGAACCTACGACTTTGTAGCTATGTATGTTTGCAGATAAAACAACAACTAATCCAGTTAATGCCGTGCAGAAAGCTGAAGTAAAAAAACAACTAACCCAACTAATGCCGTGCAGAAAGCTGAAGTAAAACCATCAGGCACTGTGCAACAACTTTCACTTCGGCGATTCGTAGCAAGTACCCAACTTCCTAAATACGAAAAACTGAAATTAACATCATATGGTCGGGACGACCAGGGTACTAGCTCCTCGTCAATATCGGGAGGATCATTTCAGAAGAAGTAAACCTTCTGAATATTCAGAACAAACAAAATTGATTCCAGCTAGTCATAAGCTCTCTCTGCAGTTAATTCAGAAGGATTTCCACTGCGCCACCTGCAGACAATGTCCGAAAACAACTCCACAAACATATTGAAGTATATGTTTGGGTGGGTGTCAGAGAAATAAACATATTTCAGAGAGGTGCATATAACATGCTCAAATTCAGGTGAAAAACACCTCATCCGTTACCTCTCATGTGTACCTACGACTTTGTAGGTACTTATGGCAGACAATAATAATAATAATATATTTATTCACTAGAACAAATGACAGAGTTAATTATATAATACATAACAATTCAAACAGGTAGGTTGTGGCATTGGCCGCGGTGGTAGTGCGCCCGACTCACGATCGGAAGGCCGTGGATTCGATTCCCGCCTCGACCAGATACTTTTCCCTAGAGAATTTATCTGGTTGAGCCTGGGATGATTCTGCAACCGTGTTAGGAATCACACGTTAAAAGGTAAGACCTCGTTAGTCCTATCAAAGAAGATGAGTTGCAAAATTTTAGAAATATTTCACAACGTTGAAAATACATATTTTTCGGAGAGAAGTTAGATTACTGAACCACTCCCTGAACCACTGTGCATGCTGTCTTTGGCTTGGGATGGGGGGGTTGAGCAAACCAGCTATCGGATGCCTGCTTCCACGTAGCCCCGCTTGTGGTTCTGTTATTCCCTAACTGAATGGCATCCCAACGATGGCTTAACCCTAAGGTGTGTGTATCCGTGCCGAGAGGATGAATGATACTGAGCCTATCAGCCAGTGTTGCCACAAGATATTTTTTCATCGTGGTAGATTTCTGAAAGGGAGCGGGGTAGAACTGGGGTGGATATACATTTACATGATGACACCAATCACAGTGACGCACTAACGTATGCCTATGATTGTCGTTCTTTGTTCTATGATAAATTTGACGATTGTAATCAAAAACATGTCACATGTCATCGCATCCAAATTTGGGATCGATGTGTTTTCAAACTGTTCCTCGAAAATATTAGGTTCCATGTTCTTATGAGTCGTATATTGTTTTTTCAATGATTTTATAAGATGAAGATTTTAAGGTTTTGGTAATCACATCGCGTTTGCGTTCATAAGTTTTGTTTTTGACTATTTTACGTACAGTTGAGAAAGGAATTTCGGTCAAATCTGATGTTGCTTGTAATAGTTTGTTTTCCTTGAAACCAAACTTGAGATGTAGACCTTTGAGAGTGTAGACTTTTGAGAGTGTCGACAACTTCAATAGTGCACAATATCGGTTACTTTGACTATACATATAACTACATTTACATCACAGACTGAGATTGCACATAATATAAACATTTCCACATTTACGTTTTCAACTTTAACTAAAAATGTCGAATGTCATGTCACAAACATCAAATAACATTTCAACGCACAGA